TGGGCCTGGTAGAAAATACATAAAGAGCGAAGACTTTTAGCACTGTTTTTAAGAGAGATAAATTTCTCAGCGAATGGTACAATAAAATTATATACCATACTTCCATGTGAAACAACAGTGAACAAGTAGTTTAAACCGTATCTTTCTCATCAAAGGGCAAGCATTTTTAATTCAGGTTATAAATATATGTCCAGTTTTGACTAAGAACGGAAAGAACCTACTAATTACATTAAAGGGTAAAAACTCTAGGGTGGTCCATCCTTCATGCACTGTTTTGGTCTTGAAGTGGGAAGAAGCATTTCCAATTCTTATGTAGGACTAGTAAATTAAATAATTTACACATCGAACTTTAAAAATTTTGAGAAATTGTCAAGGGCTTCTGATTTAAAATTTGTTCACTGTTCAAATATTAAATGATTGATTATGTTTAATAACAATGAAGCAAAGCGCCTTCTCTTTTTACAACTCCTTTCTTGATTATCGGGTACGTAGAAATATGAAGTTCATAGACAAACTATAATAATAATAATAATAATAATAATAATAAGTCACTGTGTGAAATCTATTTGAAACTTTAACAACTGGTAATTAAAGTGTTTTTCTCTTCCATTAATTAACAAATCTTAGTTTGAAGTCGCTTATTTTAACACAAAACTCAAACCTTACCATCTTAATTGCATGCAAGAAAAAACCACATCACACTAACAAAGTCTATGAGAGCACTTGATTATTTATAAAGTCGACAAGTTAAGATGGTCCATGAACACCATTTTCGTACACTTCTTGCCATGTTAAGTAAGAAGGAAAAAAGCATATGCTGGTTGCTTAATTTGGGCAGTAGGCAGTATTCGAAATCTTCAAACTTGAAAGTGAGCAATTAGCATTTGAACCACCAGAAGAGAAAAGGGAAAAAAAGGGTGAGACATAGTTTGAAACTTGGGATGTCATTAAATTTTGTGAAAATAACGAAACAAAGGCTGCAATGGAATGATTACTAAGATTAAAACTAAGAGATGTCAGGAGTGGATGGGTACTCGTGTGGGTACCCATCTTGAAGCACAAGTCACAACGGCATTCTTCTTTCTGTCAAGCATCAATGCTCTTGGAGAAGAAAAGGACATACAAATAAAGTCAGCTATTAAGTAAAACCAACAATAATAATTATTAAATGGGGAGGGAAAGATTAAAAAAGGTTGCATAATTAGAGCATTGGAACAGGAGAAGATTCTTGTATAAAGAGAGTGTCGTCCAATACTAATCATTATATTTCCTTTCCTTTCTCTTGAAACCACAAATATGTAGAGAGATGCATTGCATTGCATACCATACCGGTGAAAAAGCTTAACCTCTAGAGAGAGAAAGAGACAAGCAAAGTGAGAGAATGTAACTTTTAGCTTTGGTATGGCTTTGCCGACAATGATTTCTGTCTCTCCACTAAATGAGTAATTAGAAGACCCGATGAGGGAGGGTGAGATAGATAAAAGATAATACAATACTCGATTTTTCTTTCTACTTTTCTACTCACTTCAATATTCCCCTAAAGTTAAAGACTCTCCCACTTAGTTTAATGTTTTCACCCTTTTACTGTTTGCTGTGGTGGGTGTGTGAATGTGAAAACCATCCACCAAAAGAGAGATTCGTGTTTCAAACAGCTCAGAGGATATATATTATGGCTATAATGACAGTAGATCAATAAAATTATATGTTTTCTATACGATAAAGTAAGACAACTTTTGTTGTGTCTTTATTTTTGGAATATTTTTGAAATATCTGTATAAATAAGATAATTAAAAATATGTATAAAAGAAAAATAATAATTACATAAAGTATTAAAAAATATAATGTTAAATTATTTTACGTTCAAATTATGAAACTACTTAGATGATGTTCTTATGGAATAGAGGGTGTATAACAATTAATAGGGTATCTCAGGTTTCTGTTTCATTTATTTGTATAATATATGAAGATTTTCTTGGAGTGGAAATTTAGACAATATGTTAAGAATTTTTCTGTAAAAAATTGGAGTGAAATAGAATAGTGGCAGCTTTTACATAATGAGTAACTGCTTTGCTCGTGAGAAAAAATGATACAATAACTTAAATCCACTCTCTCAAAAAGAAAAGAGGGTCCATCCCAGCCATTATCAATGGCAGCATAATTGCCACATATGAGCATAATAAGTACGCTATCAATTAGTCTTTGTTTTTTACCGAAAAGGAAAACATACAAAGCGCTATATGAAATTATTACAAAAATCAGTGTTTTATGGCACTAAGAACCTACTGCGAGATCCTAAAAAAAGAACCTATATATTGGGAGAACTAAATGATAAAAGAAAACAAAAAAAAACTGTCAAGTCGTATTAGGTATTGACTCCCTTAATTTGTGAAGAAATAAATGGTTCGAAATTCAGAGCTAAGACGTTATGGCTGCTATTGAAGATTAGCTAATTAAAACCTTTGTTAGACTCGATTCAGTAAACTTTGATTTTAACACTTGATTATATTATATCAAGTTGGATTATTTGTTATAAATAATATGAATTGAGATTTGAGCTCATTTTCATTGACAAATTACGTTTACATGTAAGTTTTAGATTACTCAAGAAAATTTTTGCTTAATTAAAATATGTTCATAAAGTTTTAAAAGTAATTATTTCTTTAAAACAAGAATTAAAAATGCAAATTTTTTAACTAGTGTGTGTTTTATACATTACAGTTTAACTGGCATGATTGCCAATTAAAAAAAAAAACTAAAAGATCCCGAATAAAAATTTATCAAATCTGATATAAAGTTTCTTAATTATTCGAATCAAAGCTTTCTTGTGCTTACCGGAAGTAAAATCTAATTAACCTTTTTAATTATTTCACTTGGTTGTGCTAGACTTCACCCCTAATAGAAGACATAACTGTTAAGCTAACAATTTCATTGACTTATCTCTTCTACTGTGATGTTATATTGTCATTTGAAAAGAATGAAGATGCTGTCGTTTGAATTAGATACATGCAATAACAGAATAATATTAACATCTTCCCTTTTACTTTGCAATAAACTGTTACAAGCACCTTTGCTCTCCTTCAACAAACAGTTTTTGAAAGCCGTTTAAGACTTAAGGTATGGGACTTTAGCAGACAAATCAATTAAAAAAAATTTCTTTCAACCCCACAACCACATGTAAAGTGGGGATAAGCGTTTGAAAGAGAAAAGAGGAGAGAAAACAAAAAAAGAAGGAACTTTGTTAAACTTCGTTGTTGAAGAATGCTCCTTAGCATCTTCTGTGTTGCTTCATGCCGACAGTCTTCTCTTGCAGGTCTTCTCAAACCCTTTCTCACAAAATCATGGTCAAGGAAAGCATCATCCAATGGCTCTGCATGAACATCACCACCTTTGGAATGTTTAGAAAAGAAGTTAGCAAAACCACAAAAACAGATGATTTGACTGAAGAAAACTCTGATATCTAATGGATAATATAATAACAATCAATGTTTGGAAAACGACTTCCACTTGGTTGTAAGAAATTCTAAAATGGCAAATGCTAAAAATACTAAAATATATTATTAATGCAATCTTATCATAATTTATAATATATTTTTAACATGATTTTTAATAAAAAAATATTTATTAGTTACTCAACTAATGTCGTTAAAATACTCTTTAGAACACTGATTGATAAATGTTTCAAGATCTTCACCGTTAATCGTAAGTTAAGAGTGCGTAAAATCTACGTGGACGAGTTTAAAATCAATGGTAAGAAACTTCTAAAAAAAGCATGCATTAATTGCTGCTTCATAAACACGTAATAATTTTTGGTTTGTATCATGGTGGGTTCATAGTTGAGACCAGAAGAGCAAGATTGGATAGATTTAGGTAGACCTGCCACTTAAGAATCAAACCCTTTTCTCTCGAGTTTGAGAATCATGTGTTTGATGCTTGACCATTATAGACACCTCAGTGCCAAAAAAATTTCAAGTCCTTTCTCCGATTCTTTTGGTTAGCTCTTCTTGATAATGGTCCAATAAGTTCTACCAACAACCAACAATTTTGTGCTCTCTCTCCACTGTTTTCAACATCTAAACAGGAAAGTTCTCAAGTACAACGCTTTTTTTCCTGGGTATAGCTATGGTGCCCCTAGGTGGCATCCATGAATTCGTTCTTGTAAGTGGTATAATGACAATGTAAGAGGCACAACCATACCTATTTGAAGACTTCAACTTTAAAGGTCTCTTAAATAAATGAAAATACAGTTTAGTTCAAACAATTCACATGAGGAAACACAAATTTCTTTTAGATAACATAAAGATCGTTTAGTATCATTGTGATTCCTTGTAGACTGAGGTTGATGTGGAGAATTTTGCCAGTGGAAAAGTGATGTTAATTTGTGACCGGACAACAGCTTTAGATAACAAATCACAGTACTTAAGTTTATATGCTGGTGACAGAAAATCTGGAAGCTAAGATGATTAAGGAATCAACATGGTGACGGGTTAAGAGACCATAAAGTTACATGGTTGATGTGAGTTCATTAAGAGATTAGGAAGATTCATACTCAGCTTTGACTTAGGGACAGAAAGCTGATTGCCTTTGGAGTGCGGACAGACTTCATCAATCTAGGAGTGCTTGAAAGCGAAGCACCTTTCCAGATTTTACAAATGCAATGGCACTTTGAAGATTCTATATAAATGCAAGCTTCAAGGATGAGTGAACCACATCCCATTAAGACAATTTTCTTATGCCAATGGCTATTCGATCTAAACTAAAATATGCATTCATAGAAAATCGGTTGCAGCTTTTAGCAAAGATGCCAAACAGAAGAACACTGCTTTCACTATCCTCCCCCTAAAATGCATGCATGCTTGTTTCAGAATTTACAAAGATGGTGAGAAAGTTTGAGTAGAGAAACGGTCTTAAAATCAAAGGAGAATCAATAAAAACTTCCCCTTTACAAATATTATTTATCTCAAACTACAAGAGGAATAAAATTTCTACAACATCTTTCCCGTTCTGTAAGTCATGCACTTTTTCTCCGGCGTTGCAATCTTTCCCGCTTTCCCAGTATTTAACAACTTGAAGATCATGGTAGGGTGAAAGATGGAGAAGTTGCTCGAATCACGAGGCTCCAAAGTCCTTCTAGTAAGTGTTCAAAATGCAAAGGGAATAAAAAAAGAAAGAAGGAAGAAGACATGAAAGAGAAGAGGGTAGTGGAAAGAATTCAATAAATCCTAAAAAATTAAAATTCCTAACTGATTAACCCAAGAAAAAAAAGAGGGGAAAAATGTTACACTGAGGATGTATCAACAAGAACCTCGTTTAACACATCATCCTCACCATTTGCCAAGGCAAACAGCTCTGCATCCTTATCTTGATCAGTGGAAAAATCCCTCCTCTCAAGTCTGGAATGAGCTGCAATAAATATCAACTTCTGCACCTTGTCCAGTGCAGTGGAGTGGCCATGGGCACAAACCAATCTCCACAAAGACCAATTGCATTTGAAGCCACATGAAGTGGCATGAAGGAATATTAGCCTCACTGCAACTTTTCCTAAGGACTTGAATTCAGTGAGATAAGTTTCCCACACAAGCCTACTGCTTTGTGGATTCACAATCCTCATCTTCCCAGTGATTGGATCTCTCTCCTTCATCTGAACAGCTTGAGCATAAACTGGATCAAGCCCTTCTGTTCTCCATTTCATGAGCTCCATGAGAGCAATATGAGCTTCATCTCTTGCAACAAGCCTGGTTATGAGTTTGTCCACATCTTTCTCCTGCTCAGGGGTCAAGTACTTGAAGGGTGGAAGGTACTTGCCACTAGTGTCTCTCACTAAATAAAGAGGGTCAAGAATGTAAGCAGCAGCCCAAGCAGGGTGGTAGTTCTTCCTGAACCTTCTCTCAACTAGCTTTTCCACTGCTCCTTCTGCAATATGGAATTTGGAGCACCAATCCCTCACTTTTGTTCTCAATTCATCCCAAAGGGGAAGGCATTGCCCAACCAGTGGCCTCTCTGCCTCAATCTCCTGAGCCATGTCCTTAACCAATTTAACCAAACTGTGAACCGACTCCAAATCATTCCAAAACCCAACATCTCGAATCATGTCCCCAACTTCTCTTGCATTCTGGTCTTCAATGGACACCATCTTGAAGGGTTCATCCAATAGAACCAACTGCAGAGCACGAACCGAACTCAATGTATCCTCCATCATTGTATACACAGGGCCAAAGCTAAAATCCTTTGGCACCCGAAGCAACCAAGTGTGGCCGTACTCTTGGAGTTGGTACTTGTGAAAACTGTTCCGCACCTGAGACCTGTAATTGACACAATTCACAAGCTTGAGACAATTCTCGGTGACAGTCCTGAACAAGGGAAGTTCCTTGGCGAAGTCCTTGATTAAACTATTGAAACCCTGATACTGACAAGAAAGATTAACCATCCAATGATTCTGATTCTCAAGGTTTTTCAAAGCCTTGGCCTTGAACTTGTCTGCAACTATCCCAACACACTGTTGCACCAGATTCCCACAAATGCCAGTGATTGTCTCCCACAAAACCTCTTCAGCATACTTGGAAGGAGCAGAAGCAGTCACAAACAATGCTCTTCTGTACAAACTGGTCCCATTAGGAAGATTGACACTCAAATTCACCAACCCCTCATCCCCATCTCCATCCCAATTGTTCTTCCCCTTCCACCCATCAGAAGCAATCTGAAAGAACATGGCATCACTAATCCGCGCTTCAGACTCAACCTTAACTTCCTCAAACCTTGCATCCAACCTACCCCCCGTTAACTCTCTGGGAAAAACACTAGGCAAACCAACCTGTGCAAGAAAAGCTCTGAACTTTGGGTGCTCCAAACTCGAAAAAGACACGGAACCACACGACTCATACACCCAATCAGCTAAATAATCAAGGGCACTATCAATCTGAGTCTTACTCAAAGTTGGCCCCGGCGAAGTTTTAGGACTCTTGAGCTTCTTCACACTATCTTCCAACATAGCCAAAGCACCCAAGTCCTCTTTCCCACCAGACAGCATCAAATGCGGTTGCTGCTGAACCAAACCCGACCCGAATCGCGTCGGGGCAAGGTACGTAGAACCCGAAGGCGAGGTCCTCTTGCGGTGATTGTGCTGCACAAAAGAAGAGGGAGAAGGCGAAGAAGAAGAAGAAACCACAACCACAGCAGCAGCACTCGCCGGCGAAACAGACGAAATGGGTTTTGCAGCACTGTTGAAATTGGGACACGTTCCACGCTTGAGGTGTTCAGAAGCGGTGCGTGAAGGGTTGGAAGCAGAGAAAACGGCGTCGCAGAGAGAACAACGAAGCTTCACCGCTTTGGCGAGTCCCGTTTCGGTGTTGTGAAGCAACAAGGGTTCCAAGTGTGCCCAATACCACGCCCCTTTTCCCTTTATGGCTTTGTTTCGAACCATCAACAACCCTTCGTAACGCTTCTGCGCCGTTTTCGCCGTTGCTTCGTCGGCGGAAGCCGAGTCCACTGACGGCGTCGTAGCCGCCGCCATTGCTGCACGTCGTGACCGTGAATGTGAATGTAACGGAAACCGTGATCTTTTTTCGAGAAGGGTTTGATCACGTGTTCTTCGCCGTCTTCTTCATCGTCGTCGTTCTGGGACTTGTGGGAAACAGTGAAACGACATCGAGCTGGGTGCATTTAGCCGGAGAGAACGCGCGGTGGCCGGAATTTGAATTTCCGGCAAGTTTCCATGCGATCGGGGTTGTGTGAGAGATGAAAGGAAAAGAGTTTAGTTTGAGAGAGAGAGAGAGAGAAAGAGGGAGAGAGAGAGACCGAAATAGCAAAGCGAATGAGAGTGGAGCAGATACACGTACGGCTACTCCACTCTCAGATGAATGCCAGAAAAGGGCGACGCTTTTTCACGCGCTGCAGTTTGCGCGTGGGAAACATCTTTCTGGGATGTTGATGGAACCCGAGTCCCACGTACGAAACCTGGACTTGATGATTGGGGAGTGTATCCACGCGCTGTTAGTGCTTTTTCTTTTCCTGTTTTCCCTTTTTTTTTCTCTTTTGTATTTCGGGTCTTCGTGTGGGTCTTCCTTTGTCCTTGTCGCTTTCTATGTATATATTTTTATTTTTCGTATTATTCCCATACTCTTTTTCTTCGCCTAAAAATTATCAATATTAATACATTTTATTTAAACTTTTTTTTATCATAATTATCTATTATTTTTAATATTCTTTTACATCTATTTGACATTCAATAAAATAATGAAAATTTTTAAATGTCTGAATTGTTTAAAGAAAAACAGAAAAAATGCATATTTTAATTTTTAAAGGATTTTGACACCTTTTTTTTATTCTTTTAATAATTAAAAAGTTATTTTATTTTTCTTTACTGTAAAATTTTTTTTATGAATTGTTTCAATGTAGAAATTTATAGTTGATTTAATTTCAAGCCAAATCCAGAAGAAACAATGTGAAACAATTTTGATTTTTAGATACTTATGAGTTTTGTTAACCAGTATATTTAGAGAACTAGTAAATAAATTGATAAAAAAAATTTTATCAAAAGTTACGTTCAATTATATTAAAAATGTAAAAGGGGATGCAATTATATTTCTTTCAATAAAAGATTTATACTTTTTTAACAAATACCTTAAGAAGAACAGTTGGCATTTTTTAAATATTTTAAAAATTAAGTTATTTTGGAATAATTTTGATAGAACAATATTTTATTTAATAACTTCTTATAAATATATAATCATTAAATAAGATTATATATTCATATTGATATATATATATATATATATATATAATGTTAGAATGTGTGCTGAATTGTTAATTTATATTTTTTAAATTTTATTTATTATAAAAAATTCAATTCAATAATTAAATTAATATAATATAATGTTTATGAAGAAGTTATTTTTTTCATAATTATATATATATATATAAACTTTCCTTTATTAATTTTTAGATAAATTTATTTTTAATATTGTTTTTATAAATTCTCTACTCATTTTTTGATAAAAAAGAATATTTAGGTGCATGTTAAAAATAGTTTAACTTTAAGAAAATATTTTTAAGATTAAATTAATGTGTATTTTTAACTTGATTTAAATGCACAACAATGTGATATTCCAATATTTTTCGTGCATAAATTTTATATTTCTTCATTTAACTTCTTTTCATACGTAAACTGAAGTTTTATAGAACTTACATATTTTGTTAATACCTCAAAGCTATAATTAGGATAAATATGAAAAAATAAAAATTTTACTCGCAATATAACAAGTTGTCATTCAACAAGGTTTTTATTTTAATTATTTTTTTCTCAACGAAAATCTATTATCAAAGCATGTTAGGGTAGAACAACTTGAGTAACTTTTACGTTTTGATCTTCATTTTTAAGTTGATTGATTTCCCAATGCAATACTGGTTTGACAAAACGTCAGAGCAATATTGGAATAATGATATAAAATATTTGCGTTCTGAAGTCTTTAATAATTTGAGAAAAAAGCATTAAAAAAGAAACAATTAATAAAACGTGTTAGAAGAACCTCTAACGACAGTAATGATACAACACACGTGCATGAATTCATTTTTTTTTAATATTTGTCCATAATGCTTTTTCGCTTTTCTTTTTTTTGTTAAAATGTTTATTTATTTCGAGATATATTTTTCTCTTCTTGGTTACAACCTATCCTATCCACCGTTTTAATAACTATACAATTATAAAGGTAACCATTACTTTTAAACTATCGTTACAAATTACTCCCTCCGACTTTTTTCATAAAAAAACAAAAAATTAAATTATTAAAATTAAAAAAAGTAATTAAATATATTATATTTTTTATAAATATAAATTTTATTTTAAAAATATCTATAATACTAAATGATGTAGTTAGTAATTTGTATATTTAATGATACTAATAAAAAAAATATAAAAAATAACAATTAATACTTTTTAAATCTATCATTTGTTTCTTATAATAAACATAAAAATATTTCATTTTATTTCTTATAAAAAAGACCAAAAGAAATACTTGTTTAAACATGTAAATTTAAAATTATAAAAAAAAATGATACAACTCTAATATTTTTTTATAATCAATTTAAAGATGTATAAAAACAATGTTATAAGAAAAATATAAACTAAAATTTATTACCATATAAAAGATTCACTCTTTTAGATGCATGCCTCATTTTGTATAAGAGTCAAATTTAAGTATGGAGTAGTTTAAAAAAGAGAAGAAAAAATTTATATTTTAAATAATATTTTTTTAAATATTGATAAAAATTTAATATATTAACAATATATTTATTATTATAAATAATATATAAATTTTTAATTTAAATTAAAATAATATCTTCTCTTTCTTTCTTCATTAAAAACTTTTTCCCAAACATATCATAAAACGCAATTAGAAACTTCCCAGAAGAAATGCATTTGTGAAGAGTAATAAAAGAAATTGCCAAAAAGTTGCAGAAAGAGTTTGAAAGTAATGTCAAGCTGAAGGAAGGGGTTTTGGCCTTCCAAGGTTGGTCGTGAATTGTATAGTATTTTTCTTTTTAATTTATAAAATATTTCATGTTTTACTTGAAGTATTTGAAGACAGATCCAATTTAATTCTTTTTTGTTAGCATATTCCAAAGGAACCTTCTTTATCATGTGTTAGTTCTTTCCCTTTTAAGAATTCTTTTAAGGTGATTATTTTATAATTTTTTAATGTGAGAGGGCATCGATAACTATTTTTCATTTGAGCCAATAAAATTTAGTCATGTGCATACATGTTAAAATTATATTATCAATAAATTGAATTTAATTTTAATGGTGTTATAACTTATAAATTTTATAATTGTAAAAAAAAATCCTTATGTGATTTAATTAAAAAAATAAATATAAAATGGAATCTGTTCTATTAAATAATAAATTAAATTGAAATAATGAAAAAAAATATGTTACCAATTAGTTTTAAAACATAATTAAAAAAAACTATTATTAATAGCTCTATCCCCACATTAGCGAAAGAAGATTCTTTAAAAAACTTGATGACTATGTCAACTATTACGACTAAAAGATTTTTCAGAAACCATTAAAAGGAAAGAAGACGTTACTTTTGTATCATAAACCCTATTTTACGCTTAATTAGATACCATTTAAGACTCTTATGGATGTTGTCAATTAGCACATTAGACACGACTGTTACTAACAGTCTATTTAAAAAAACTAATATACTGAATGCATAAAGGATTAAAATGAAATTTTAAAAATTTAAAGATTAAAGTAAAAATAAATAAATAAGTTACAGAATCATAAATCTATTTTTATTTAATTTGTATATAAATAGATAAAAAAAAAAGGAAGAGTATTGATAATTATAGTATAACTATAAAAAAATTATAATTACTGATTATTTTGAAATGAAATATTTTTATTATCTTTTAATGACAAATTTAATATATTTTAATTATTTATTAAAAATATTTTTATTCAATAAAGTAATATTAAAATAAATATAAATTAATTTATATTTTTGGAGACAAGTATTCTTTATTGAAAATAATCATGTTAGTAACTAATATAATTATAAGTGTCAAAATTCTTTCTCTAAATATTAATATAAATTTAAATATATAAATATTTAACTTACATTTATTATATTTGTTTAATATATAATATATTCTTTATTAGATTTTAAAATATAATTAAATTTATTTTATTTTATTTTTAATTTAATTTACTGTATGACGCAACATAACTCTTTAATATTTAATTTTTGAATAATTTTAAAGTAATATTCATATGATTCCTTTTTTTTTTCCTAACAAAAGAGTAATTTCTTTATAATTATAAAACGTATAATATCAATTAAAATTAATTTCAACGTAATTTTAATGTATATATGATTAATTTTTTAAAATAAAAAAAATTATACCTCCCAAAATTCAAAGAAACCAAAGCAACCGACTTCTTTCAATCTTTTCACTAGTTGTTAATTTAATATTATATATTTAAAATGCTTAAATTCATATGGTTTTAGTGTTAATTAGATACCATTTAAGACTCTTATGGATGTTGTCAATTTAATATATATATTACATTGAAAAATATTGAATTAAATATTATATTTTGACCGCACTAATCACAAACGTTGTCATGGGTGGATGAAAAATAGTTGGTATATAAACTGTAAATACATATAATATTAAATAGTTATTGATAAGTTATATATTAGATGATTAAATACATTTATTTATCTATAAAAAAGTAAGTAACTATTTAATAACATAAATTTTACAATAAAATGAAAATATAAGATAGTTAATATATTTGTAAAATAGTCTATATTTTTTATAAACAGAATTAAGAAAATATTCTGTTTTATTTTTTATTAAAAAATTTAAATATAATTTCTTATATATTTTTATTGTTATTTTTTAGATGTATTTAAGAATAGTACTCTCTATTTAATAAATTATTTTAAATAATAACTTATATCTTACATTACTTATATCATAAATTTTGACTATGTAGCATGTGAGATTTTTATAACGTAATTTGTAATTTTAAAAGTTTAAACATTAATCAATACAATTGTATTAAATATTTGGAGAAAATTTGTTACTACTTATAATAATTATATTTAACTCGATTATAATTTTTTTAAGTAATATAAATATATATATATATATATAATTTAGAAAAAATTATTTTGATAAGCAACATCAAATGTGAGTTATAAATTATTTTAATTTATTCATAACTTTTTTCAAACAGACTCTTAATTAAAATTTGAATTTCATATGGATATTATATGATAACATT